TCGAGTTGATCTTTGAAATTTCCTGTTCAGCTCTTGCACCTCTTCAATTTTTCCATTTTAACATTAAACATTTTCCATTTAACATTGGCAATGACCAATTTGTCTTGATGTTAAAAACAATGCAAATGCCCATCAAAATAATTCTAAAAAAGGGATATATGTGGGGATGGGGGTGGAGTTGCTGGTGGTGGTTGTGCTGTAGAGTTGGTTCCAACTCCTAGGGACCCTATATAGGGTTTCTGAGGCTATAAATCTTTACGGGAACAGAAAGTCTCAACTTTTTCCCGAGGAGCAGCTTGGCAGCTCATAATCCACGTCAAGTCAGTTCCGACCCATAACAACCCTGTTGAGAGTTTCCTAGAAGTGGCTAGTAAACTTGAACTACCAACCTTACAGTTCAAACCAACTTTGGAGTCCAGTGCACTAACCTACAGCGCCACACCAGAACTCCATGGGTGGGGAGGAGGGGAATAGTGGGGGTAAAAGTTCCAAGTTAATTAATATATCTCCAACTCTATTAAAAAATTTTCCCCAAATCAAGCATGCATTGCTGTTGTGACTGGCAGCGACACCAGTAAAGATATTGAAAAGATAAAGAAGACTGGGAAGGCATTTTTTTGAAGTCTTCATTAACATCGTATTGAATGGTGGCCAAATGGTTAAAGTTTAGTTTCCTGACTCACTGTTCGTCATTTAAGCTCTTTCTATGTTTTAAAAATGATAATCCATACATTGTGCCCACATCTGCTCTCTACATCCTCATTCTCATGTGAGGGAGGGGAGGGAAGGACAAGAAGTGGGGGTGGGGTGTGTGTGTGTACCAGCATTATCCCAAGCCCACCTGCTGCTCCGGGTGGAGTACACCGCTGCCTCCCTTCCGGAGGGGCCTAGATCCCAGCCTGTCCCAGAGCTGGGGTGCCCTGGTGCACCTTGGACATGGGACCGCTCCTGCTTCAGCCGCGCAGCCAGCTTTCTCCACTGCGTCAGGAGAGAAGGGGAGAGGCAATTGGCAGCAGCTTCAAATATGCCCCCCGAGTGGGCACAAGGAAGCAAGGAAGGGGCAGGGGCAGGACTCAGACACATTTGCTGAGCTCCAAAGTCTGTGGTCTTAACATTAGACTATCCTGTCTCCTTGGGAATTAATAAGATGGAGCCGAGAGGCAGGGCTTTCCTGAAGAGACACAGCCTAGGCCTGAGTCTTCCTAAGCACCCCAAGGAGGGGAAAACCCGCAAGTGCTTTTCAGTCCTGGCTGGCAAAAACAGCAATAAAGGTAAACACTTATAGGATAGACTTGCTAGACCTTTAAGCATCACAATATCCCTATAGAGTATATATGAGGGGGCTTCAAAAAGTTCATGGGGAAAATTTCATTATCTTTTAATTCCACCTGCCCACGAACTGTTGAAGCCCCCTCATACTGTTATAATCCCTTTTTTGAGATAAAGTGACTGAGGCACAAAGAAGTAAAGAAACTTGCCCAAGGTCACATAACTAGGGAGTGGCAGAGGCAGAATTGAAATGCAGGGCAGAGCTGGCTCAGGTTCCTGGGCTCCTAACCATCATGTGATAGGCCAACGAGTGCCAGACTCCTCCGGAGACGTACCAACTTCATCACCCACTTTCCCTCCCAGCCGAACCTGGAGGCCCCTGACCTCTCTGAAGCTCTGGGCCAGCAGGGCCTTTATGTGCCGCCCCCACGCTGCATTCAGCCTTGCCTCCCGGAGGTATAGGGTCCACCGCAGCGTCCTGAGGACCTTTTTCAACAGCTGTCTGTGGTACAGAGCCTCCACCGCCGCCACTGCCCAGCCCCTCTGCACCAAGTGTCGCCAGGCTTTGAAACATCTGGGCAGCAGCTGCCAGCTGTGGACAACAGGGGTGGGGTGGGGTGGAGGGGGTTGGGTAGGGGCAGTGCTGGCCTCTCAGCCCAGAGAGCAACTTAGGGTACCACCCACACTGCCTTTCCCGAATCTCCACAATGATGCCCCCATGCTGCGGCAGGAAGACTAGTTATAGACTTGAAGAACTTCTCTTAGAAAAAGCTCTGCGGCAGAAGGATGCTCCACTTGTCTGCCAAGTGTCCAGGACAGCCTGAGTAGTTTAGGAATGTCTATGTTTCACTCCTAGCATATTCCAGTTCTTGGGGGCCCCGGGGCTCCCCCTCATCCCAGCAGGGAGAGTGTGGAAGAAGGAAGCCAGTTCCTAAGCCTTTATATCATGCCATCCCCACCCCTTTGCCACAGCTTGTGCTCTCACCAGGCTGTCTTGTTCTCCAGGGTCACAATGTTTGGGGTCCTATTCTGGGAACATAAGAGGACACCACACAACTCTCAGGACAGGACCCCTCACCTTCCAAGCCTACTTGCCCAAGGCCTCCCTTCCTGGGGGAGGGGGTGGGACAGGGCAATGACAGTGACTTGGAGAATCCCTGGGAGGAGGCAGTCCCCACGCCCCAGATCTACCTCCAGGTGGGTCCTCACTGGGGTGGTGTCCGATGGGCAGGAAGAAGTCATCCTAGTCTCCTCCCTGAGGACCTGCTCCCTCAGGGTCCCTGCCCCTCCTTCCCGCCCAGATCCGGCTCCCCTGTTTGCATCAGAGAAGAGGGAAGAACTGAGGCTGGCCTCTGGAGGGAGACCAGGGTTGGCCTTCTGCTTCCCACCATATGCAGGCCTTGGGAAGCAGGTCCCTCCTCTGCCTGGGGGGCAGGCAGGAAGAACTCCTTGCTCGGGGTCAATGGGCAACACTCCAAAAGCAGTCTTCAGTGACTCTGGCTGGCTGTTTGCCTGAGAGTCTAAGAGACCAGCCGGGGCTTCCAGTGTCTTTCCCCTGAGACTTCTGGGATACCTCTGCTTCTCAGGCTGGCTGGGCTGGGGGTAGGCAGGGGCCACCAGGAGCTCTTGGGATGTACAACAACTGAATCGGTCTGCCTCGAGCTCCAGGTGTCGCACGGAGGCCAGCAACTGGTGGATGTCAGCACGGGACAGGGTCCTAGCCTGGCTCTGTGCAGGGACAGTCAGATCCTCCAGGGTGAGGGGCTCACCCACGGCCCCGGAAGCCCATCTACCCAGGGCACGCCAGGAGCTGAGGCCTGGCCTTGGGTACCCATCTTGAGGAATGAAGTCCGGGCAGGGGGTGTTTGGAGCTGGTGGCCGAGACTGCCTCAGGCTGAGGGAGGGACAGGTCAGCTGTCCACTTTGGTAGAGGTGATTTCCCCGCGGCAGAGTATGGGGATCGAAGCTCCCCTGAGGTTCTGGCCAGAAGCAGGGGCTGGAGTGGTTTCCATAGGAGGCCAAGCTGACCTTGTTCAGGCTAAGGTTGCTTTGCTGGAAGGCAAAACTCCAGGTTCTCCGGTGAGGCCTACCAGCCCAGGGCTGCAGGTTGCTCTGTTGCAGGAAGCTTGAGTTGACCCTCTTCCTCTGGCCAGTCTTGTCCCCCAGGGTGAGGCCAGGGCTCAGGCCTGGTCTGGCCAGGTTGGTCTGGATGGGGCAGGGCTCCCGGTGAAGCATTGCCCCTATGGACGGTGTGAAGGCAGGCCCTCCCCTCCTGGCCTGGTGCACGGGTACCTGCTGACCATGCCCACTGCCCAGGCTCTTCAGAGATCTCTGTGACTCTAAAGAGAGGAGAGACAGTCAGGTCCTGGGGGAGGATCCCACAGGTAAGTAGAAGGACAGGACCCAGGAGGATGGGAGTGGGTGGATGATGGGGTCCAGTTGAATTGACTGGGACATACATTGGGGGGCACAGGGGCAGAAGCAATCAGGAGGCTGTGTGTGTGTGGGGGGTGGGGGAGAGGTTCACAGGAGAGAGGGGTGGTTGGGATCAGGAGGTGGCTGTATGAGTGGAGAGAGAGGCAGATTCAGGTTCGCTGTGGAGTAGAACCCACAGGCTTAGAAGAGGGGGTGAAGACAAGGGAAGAATCAGGATGACTCCTTGATTTCTGGCCTGAGCAATGGGGGAATGGGGAAGACGGGGGACCGCAGGCTAGGGGTGAAAGCAAGATCCACTACATCGAACAGCTGAAGGGGGCTGCTCTGTGGATAGCAAGGGTGGGGTCTAAAGTCCCCCCCTCCTTGCCCACCCTCCTGGGTCACTCTGCACCATGGTAAAGTACTTGTAGAGACTGACCAGAGGCATTCCTGGGAGGGTTGGGTCTTACAGGCAGAATAAGGAATAAAAGTTGCCACCTTGGGGAATATAGCAACTAAAGCTCAGAGAGGTTAAGCAACTTGCCCTGTAGTCACACAGTCAGAACACAAAGAAAGTAAAATGTGACTTAGAATCAGAATTGGATCTTGGGCTGTTTTCATCCTTGGCTGGTCCAACTCCGAGGCCTTCTTGCAGCCCAGGATGGCTGAACAGGGAGGTCTACAGACTGACTTGTAGGCCCCTTCCCAGTCTGGGGTATCTACCAGCCCCATTCCTGGACCCTCTCTTCCTGAGCTCCCTCAGGCCCAGGCTGGGGAAAACTTTGTCCTCAGCCCAGCTAACCCTAATAGCATTATCTCTGGAATTAGCAACGCCCCTCACCCCCACGCCCTACCCCGGGCTGCCTTCCAATTCCCCTTCCCCCAGGCCTGCTAAGCCTCTTGCCTGGTCTCAGAGGAGCCGAGGGCTTGGGGGGTACATTCTCCTTGAAGCTGGCGTCCTGCCTCAGCTCCATGTGTTCAGGGCCAGAGCCAGGGTAATGGTGGCGTCGGTCCAAGGCAGTGGCCTTAGCAGAGAGATGTGGCCTGTGTGATTGGATGGGGCTATGAAGAATGAGGTCGCACAGGTCAGCCCAGGTCACCCCCATCCTTGGCAGCACCCCCAGATCCCCCTCAGGCACAATCCCAACTGGCCTGCCCTGGACCTTCACTGGTTAGGCGGCCCCTGCAATCTCCTCTCCCTGCCCCACACACTCACACCCCTCTTTCTGTTGTAACTTCTAGTGTCTGCCAGGGTCCACATGTTCCAGCACTAACTACAGTTCCTCAGCCCTCCCCTGTGGGCCCTGCTTCCAGGCAGCCCTCTCAGGTGGGGGGCTCTTTCTCTTCAGCTTTGTCTCTAAAGCCCTCCAGAACTGGACCACTGAATTTCGCCTCCTTATTGCAGACACTGAGAAAGTACAACTCACCTCTGGTTCATGGTCCTTTATCCTATACAAATTTTTGGTCACTTCATCATTCATATGAACACTCCCCTCTATCACCTGACCTCTGAGGGCCTTGACCTCTCTTTCCAGAATTCATGATCTTGTCCTGTACCTAATCTGAGTCACTCATTATAGGTCTCCTTCCACACTGTGAGCAAATAAAAAAACCAAACCTAACCAGTTGCTGTTGAGTCAATTCCAACCCATGGTGTGTTAAACTAGAACTCTGCTCCATAAGGCTTTCCAGGGCTGCATTTTCAGAAGCAGACTGCCAGACCTTTCTTCTGCAACACCTCTGGGTGGATTCCACCCCCAGCCTTTTGGTTAGCAGTTGAACACATTAACCATTTGCATCATGCACAGACTCCTGAATAAGTGCCCCCCAAGGCCACAAATAAACAAGTGCACTCACCCATAATGTCAGCTTTGAAGCCAGCCCGCTATTGCTGTAGCTTACTCCACCAGTGACCCAATTCCAACAATCCTTCCTCCCAATGAAACCCTGACTCTCAGACCTCACCACCTTCTGACTGTGATTTGTCTCCTTGATGTCTCCTACTGTCTCCCTACAGCCTAATGATCAAGTAGCATACGAGGAAGCTTCAAAAAGTACGTAGATGTCAGTTTGAGGACTATAGGTATCCCTGACCCAAGCCATGGTATTTTCTCATATGCATGTGAAAGTTGGACAGGGAATCAGGAAGACCATAGAAGAATTTATGCATTTGAGTTATTATGGTGTTGGAGACGAATATTAAAAGGACCATGGACTGCCCAAAGAATAAACCAGTCTGTGTTGGAAGAAGTACAGCCAGAATACTCCTTAGAAGCCAGGATGGCCATACTTCATCTCTCATACTTTGGACATGTTATCAGGACCAGTTCCTAGAGAAGGATTATCATGTTTGATAAAGTGGAGGGTCAGAAAGAGAGGGGAAGACCTCCAATGAGAGGGATTGGTACAGTGGCAACAGCAATGGGCTCTAACTGGGCAGTGTTTTGTTCTGTTGTGCATACGGTTGCTATGAGGTGTTATCAACTCAATGGCTCCTAACAACAACTCCTTCAAGTCGTGGTTCACATTTCTGCAAGCCCTTCCTGGATACTCTCTCTCCAACAGTACCATCCCCAGCTTCTTCTTTCGGCCCTTACCACCATCTAACATACTGAACACATTGCTGTCTGTTATTCTCCTTCCAGTGGACTGAAAGCCACATGAAGGTAGGCCGTTTTGTCTCCTTTTCCTGCTGTGTCTGCAGCACATGGAATGGGTCTGGCTTACAGCGTATGTTAAAGGTAAACACCATGCAGCCTTTAGCCTGCGCCCTGTCTAACCCAGCCCTAAGAATGAGCTTCTCTGTTTCACACGAGGAAACAAGACCTCCATAACCAGATAGCGACTTCAGTGCGTCTAACCCAGGACTGACTCCACAGCGCATGCCCCTAACCAAGGCCAACACTTAACCTTCCGCTTTCTAAATGAGTCCAGGAAGTTCAAGTCACAAGATATTTTGCTTACTGCTCCCACACCTCTCCCTTCCAGACCCCAGGCTCTTCTGTCCACCTACCTGCTCCTCACTTCCCACCCTCTCTCCATCCCTGCCCATTTAAAGACACTCAGAATGTTTCTCCTCTCCAGAACAAAAGCACTTGCTGTTCGTTTTCCTGTTATCCTGGGCTTGCCCTCACAAGCGTCTTTCTTTGGTCCTCCTTCGCCTAGTCGACGTTTGAACCTGGAGATTGGAGGCTGGAGCCCACCTCAGGCAGGACGGTAACGATCCTGGCGGGTAGGCGTGAGTTAGAGGGGAGCAGCGTGCCAGCCCGCGAGGATGCACTTGGCACCCCTAAGTCCCGAGCCTTGCGCGCGCGTGGCCGCCGGCGTCTGGATGTGCAGCAGGGACGGCGGTAGCAGAGCGCATGCTGTGCTGTGCTGGGCTCCTGGGTGCGTATACCGGCGCCATTCACCCGGTTGCCAGTCACGTGACCCTTGCAAACGTCTTGCCTTTGCGAGACAAACAATATTCTCCTCTCTGGCTTTCAGATCCCTCTGGAATCTGGCTATAATCGACTCCTCTCCGTGCTATGTGCTTGACCCAATCCCACTTGCTCTGGACCCCAGAAGTTACTGCATTTTTCTTACTTTGCCTCACTGCTCATCTCCCATAACCTTTCCTCTCTTTGCCCAGATATTTATTCTATTTGGGAACTATCAGCTTCCTGAATCTGAAATTTAGTGCCTTAACAATTTGAAAAAAATCTTTAATATCCATTAACTCTGAATGTTGCCTTTTGCTCATCATTGCCTTCGGGAACTTTGTGTTGGACCTTCTCGCAGTATTCTTTATCTGCTGGGAGGAACGAACACTGGGCCAGGAGTTAGAAGATTTGAGATTAAGAGGGATTCTGCTGTTGTGTGAATTTAGACAAGTTCCTAACTTTTCTGAACCTTAGGGTCCTCTGCTATTCAAAACAAACAAAACAAAATAACTACTGCCATGGAGTTGATTCCAATACATGTTATGTTATGTTAGTGCCATAGAGTCAGTTCTGACTCATAGCAACCCCATGCACAACAGAACAAAACACTGTCTGGAACGAAACAATTGTTGTTACATTTAAGCCCATTGTTGCTGTCACTATGTCAATCCATCCTGTTGAGGGTCTTCATCTTTTTCGCTAACCCTCCACTTTTCCAAGCATGATGTCCTTCTCCAAGGGACTGACCCTGTCTGAGAATATGTCCAAAGTATGAGAGACGAAGTCTCGTCATCCTTGCTTTAAAAGAACATTCTGGCTGTACTACTGCCAAGACAAGATTTGCTTGTTCTTCTGGTAGTCCATGGACTTTCAGTATTCTTCAACAACATTCTTCAAATGCACTGATTCTTCTCTAGTCTTCCTTCATCATTGTCCAACTTTTACATGCATATGAGGTGATTGAAAATACCATGGCTTGAATCAGGCACACCTTAGTCCTCAAACTGGCACCTTTTGCTTGAACACTTTAAAGAGGCTTTTTGCAGCAGATTTGCCTAATACATGATTTTATTTCTTGACTACCACTTCTGTGTGAATTGACTGAAGAGCCAAGCAAATTGAAGTCTTTGATAATTTCAGTCTTTTCTCTATTTATCATGATGCTATTTATTGGCCCAGTTGTGAGGATTTTTCTTTTGTTTAATTTGAACTGCAAGCCATACTAAAAGCTATAGTCTTTGATTTTTGCTGTTGTTAAGTGCTGTTGAGACAGTTTTGAATCACAGTGACCCTGTATAGAGTTTCCAAGGAGTGGCTGGTGGGTTTGAACCGCCAACCTTGTGGTTAGCCTACAGCGCCACACCAGGATATTTATCAGTAAGTATTTCAAATCTTTGAGTAGCTAGGGTAGCATAGTGGTTATGAGTTGGGCTATTAACCTCAAGGTCAGCAGTTCAAAACTACCAACCATTCTGCAGGAGAAAGATGAGGCTTTTTGCTCCTGTAAAGGTTTATAGCCTCAGAAACCATATACAGGGTTGCATTGAGTCGGAACTGACTCCAGGGCACACTACCACAAGCACCACCATTCAAGTCCTCTTCACTTCCAGCAAGCCAAGTTGCGTCATCTGCATATTGTAGGTTGTTAACGAGTCTTTCCCCAATCCTAATGGCAAATTCTTCTTCATATAATCCAGTTTCTCGGATTATTTGCTCAGTATACAGATTGAATAAGTATGGTGAAAGAATACAACCCTGACACATACCTTTCCAGATTTTAAACCATTTAGTGGCCCCTTGTTCTGTTTGAATAACTGCTTCTTGGTGTCTATGGATTGATTCCTCATGAGCACAATTAAACATTCTGAAATACCCATTCTTCATAATGTTATCCATAGTTTGTAATGATCCCACAGTTGGATGCCTTTGTATAGTCAGTAAAGCATAAATAACCATTTTTTCTGGTATTCTCTGCTTTCAGTCAAGATCTGTCTGACTTCAGCAATGATATCCCTCATTCCATAGCCTGTTCTGAAAATGGTTTGAATTTCTGGTAGCTCCCTGTCCATGTATTGCTGCATTCGTTTTAAAACTACTTCAGTAAAAAATTTACTTGCATGTAATAATATTATTCAATGATTTCCACATTCTGTTGAGTCACCTTTCTTTGGAATGGGCTTAACTATGGATCTCTTCCCACCTTCCAATGCATAGCGACCTTGTATGTGGTGTCTGAGGCTGTAAATCTTTACAGAAGCAGAATGTTTCCTCTTTCTCTCCTGGAGTTACTGGAGGCTTTGAAATGCCCACATTATGGTTTGCAATCCAATGCTTATCCTACAGCACTACCAGGGTTCTTTCCTTCTATAAAAGGAAGGTAATAATACCTGTTCTTACCTACCTCACCGGTTTGATGTCAAGGTCAGTTAATTAAATTATTGTCAAAGAGTTTTTAAAAAGCTAAAGCAATTCTTGAAAAAGTGGTGGGGTGTATGATTACTACTTCCTTCTTAAGTCTATGTTTCTAATCTCCTACACCTGGAGAATTGTGCCTAATCATTTTGTTATTTAGGTTTTACCCTTCATTATCTCTAAGAATACTTTTGACTTTAAAATCAAGTTTGCCTGATATTAATTTAACTATAGCACTGGACTGCTAACCGCAAGGTTGCTCGTCTGAACCCACCAGCTGCTCCTTGGGAGAAAGATGTAGCTTTCTGTTCCCACAAATATTTACAGCCTCGGAAACCCTACGCAGGGTCTCTATGAGTCAGAACTGACTTGATGGCACTTAACAATGACATATTGTTGTCATTGTGTGCCATCAAGTTGATTCCATTTACGGTGGCCCTATGGTGGTGGTGGTGGTTATATGCCATGGAGTCGGTTCTGACTCATAGTGACCCTTCCGAGGCTGTATATCTTTAGGGGAGCAGAAAGCCTCATCTTTCTCCCGTGGAACAGCTGGTAGTTTCGAACTGCCGACCTTGAGGTTTGCAGCCCGATTCGTAACCAC